TGAAAATCACTATTTTTTAATGGACATGAATCTTCCAGCACCTGTCTGCCAGGGTCTATGTTAATATACCAGAGGGTCAATCCATGGATTTATGGAAAATGACCCATTTATAGATGATTTTCCCATTAAAACCTCCATTTATAAGGGATTTTCCATGGCTATGTTAGTCATAACCAGATGGTACCCCCCTAGTAAACTAACATAGACACTGAAAATCACTATTGTTTAATGGACATGAATCTTCCAACCCCTGTCTGCCAGGGTCTATGTTAACATACCAGAGGGTAAATCCATGGATTTGTGGAAAATGGCACATTTATAGATGATTTTCCCATTAAAACCTCCATTTATAAGGGATTTTCCATGGCTATGTTAGCCATAACCAGATGGTACCCCCTAGTAAACTAACATAGACCCTGAAAATCATTATTTTTTAATGGACATGAATCTTCCAACCCCTGTCTGCCAGGGTCTATGTTAATATACCAGATGGTAAATCCATGGATTTGTGGAAAATTGCCCATTTATAGATGATTTTCCCATTAAAACCTCCATTTATAAGTGATTTTCCATGGCTATGTTAGTCATAACCAGATGGTACCCCCTAGTAAACTAACATAGACCATGAAAATCACTTTTTTTTTAAGGGACATGAATCTTCCAACCCCTGTCTGCCAGGGTCTATGTTAATATACCAGAAGGTAAATCCATGGATTTGTGGAAAATGGCACATTTATAGATGATTTTCCCATTAAAACCTCCATTTATAAGGGATTTTCCATGGCTATGTTAGCCATAACCAGATGGTACCCCCTAGTAAACTAACATAGGCCCTGAAAATCACTATTTTTTAATGGACATGAATCTTCCAACCCCTGTCTGCCAGGGTCTATGTTAATATACCAGAGGGTAAATCCATGGATTTTTTGAAAATGGCCCATTTATAGATGATTTGCCCATTAAAACTTCCATTTATAAGGGATTTTCCATGGCTATGTTAGTCATAACCAGATGGTACCCCCCTAGTAAACTAACATAGACCCTGAAAATTTTTAATGGACATGAATCTTCCAACCCCTGTCTGCCAGGGTCTATGTTAATATACCAGAGGGTAAATCCATGGATTTGCGGAAAATGGCACATTTATAGATGATTTTCCCATTAAAACCTCCATTTATAA